GGGTCCACTGGTGGAACCTCTTCTAACTGGTTCGGTAGATTTGACGAACCGGTTCTACCGAATAGGTGCGAACTGGTAGGAACCCACCTCTGTGTTCCTATTCCCGTTTTCGCAAGGCAGCTGAGAAGATGAGAACTGGGAGTCAGTTAAGTGTCTAGTGCTGCCTGTTTTTGTTGGGGGTGGTGGTGTTGGAGTAAGGCTCCTGTGTTTCTAAATGGGATGGTGGAGTTTGTGGGATGTCATGTAGCCTCGTCCCTATGCATTGTCCTTTTTTTTTCAGACAGATTACCCATATGCATATGTGTAAATTGAGTATCTACGTTTCAAATAGTATTGTTGTGTTGTCGGGCTTTCTAGTTACCAAATGGAAGTGCTCTGTTGCTTTCTGTGTTGACTTTCCAGAGAGTATTCTGAAGGCAAAACTTCCTAATTCAGCAGTTTTCCTGTAAACCTATATACTGTATGTGCAGTTCTGAAGCCAATATGTGTGTTTGTATGTGTAAGAGGGAGGGAGAGGGAGAGACAGAGAGACAGAGACAGAGAGACAAGAGTCTTGTATGCTTGTATAGATTGGGTTGAAATGAATCTGTTGCTATTGCATCTTTGCTAGACCTTCTGAGAGGCTTTGACCAACAAGTCACAAAGTATGCTTGCTGTTGGCTCTTGTTTGTTATGGGTTTTTTTTTTAAGCCATTTTTAATACGTTGGATACTTTACTAGAATCAGAATGGATTGCCTTTGTGGTTCTAGAACAGAAAACAAGGGGGCTAATGAATTCCCATCGTATTTTATGGCCAAACATTTTGAGGGTTTTTTTTTTTTGCCAGAACACAGACTATTTGAAACATGTTAACAAAGCTTTTTGAGTGGGCTTTGTTTTAAGTTCACAACAGAAAGAGCTTTTGTTTGTTTGCTGCACATCCTGCCTTAGCAATAGCAGTTAGACTTATATACCGCTTNTATTCTCCCTCCCTCCCTCCCTCTCTCCCCTCTCTCCCTCCCTGCCTCCCTCCCTCCCCCCCTCTCTCATAAAAGATAGGAATTTTGGGAATTGCATCCAATACCTCTGGAGAGCAGCAGATGAGGAATATTCCAGTCAACAGGAAGAACTTAATTAGCCTGCAGCCCTCTGTGGACTTAAAGGAGCAGCCAAAGAGCTAAGATCTACAGAGACCGGCATGGATGGCCTTATCCCCCCCTGCTGTATACTTGCATCCTCATATTTGCAAGACCTGAACAGAAACTCCTATTAATACTTACAGGCTGTCTTTGGCTTACAACAGTTCATTTAGTGACAGTTCAAAGTTACAACAGCACTGAAAAATGTGACATAGTTGTTTTTCACAGCTACGACCTTTGCAGCATCCCCATGGTCATGTGATCAAAATCCAGGTGCTTGGCAACTGGTTCATATTTATGACCATTGCTGTGTCCCCAAAAACATGTGATCCCCTTTTGTGACCTCTGACAAGCAAAGTCAATGTTAAGCTTCACTTAACAACCAGGTTACTAACTTTTCAACTTAAGTGATTCACTTAACAACGGTGGCAAGAAAAGTTGTAAAATGGGGAAAAACTCACTTAACAAGTTTAACAACAGAAATTTTGGGCTCGATTGTGGTTTGTATGTCAAGGACTACCAGTACTTTCATTGTTTTTATGTATTGTTAGTCATCCTCAAACAGAATGTTGGGGTCCATTTCTGTTGTTAAAAATCACAAGCATACATGGAGTTTTCATCCCCAATCACTGATAAAAGAAACCAGAAATATTCCTGTATTTTTCTATGAATTATATCTTTTTCCTCCTTAATTTTATTTTAGCACACACTGGCCCAGAGCATTTCTATTGGATAAATTAAAATAGGAAAATAAATCATAATAAAGAAGTACATCATGACATTTAATAGCCTCCTGTCAATTTGTCAATTTGTCAATTTTAATAGATTTGTATGCCGCCCAATCCCGGAGGACTTCGGGTGGCTTACATAAAAGACAGTTTTAAAAAAGAAGATATTAAAAATTTAAAATATAAAACAGAACAAATTAAAACACGACACAACATGCACTCGATCTTAGTGGGGCTGAAGGTCAATCAAGATCAGCAGCCCCAAGCCTGCCGGAACAGCCAGGTCTTAACAGACTTTCGGAAGGCCGAGAGAGTGGGGAGGGTCCGGATTTCAGGAGGCAGTTCGTTCCAGAGGGCTGGGGCAGCTACAGAGAAGGCCCTCTTCCGAGGAGCCACCAGACGACATTGTGCAGTCGATGGTACCCGGAGAAGGCCCACCCTGTGCGATCTTATAGGGCGCTGGGAGGTATGTTGCAGGAGGTGGTTACGGAGATATCCAGGTCCTAGGCCATGTAGGGCTTTAAAGGTAATAACCAGCACTTTGAAGTGTGTTCGGAGACCAATAGGGAGCCAGTGCAGCTCACGGAGGATAGGTATAACATGTGTGTATCTAGGTACACCCAGTATCGCTGNTTATATCCAGCTTCAAATTATACTGTGGTCTAATAAGAATACAGGACTTTGCCAAATTTTACTCAATCAGGGAAGGAGGTCAAGTATATTTAGCCTCTTCATCGTTGAAGGCACCAGATGCCATATGATGAGATGGTGATATCATGGAAAGGGTGGCCTTTTGGGGAGGGGGCAATTTAAGAGTCAAGATGGGATCAAAAGGTCTCTGGGAGGAAAGCCACTACAAGTCCCATCCTTAACTGTCTTAAACCCCAAGCATGAATTGAGCTCTGGCATTGATTAGGGACTCATCCAATCAATTCCTGATCAAATACATTGTCTGCTCTCCTTTTTTAAAAAAAATTTATAGTATCAGGTTTAAAACTGGAATCTGTTAAATGCAAAACACCTTCCAGGCACATAGCTCTTTGACATAAGATAAACTTCTTCAATTCATGTGGACTGCTTCAATTGACATAATTAAACTAATGAGCAATTTTTTTCATAGGTTGGAACAGCACAATTAACATCACTTTTTTTCTTTTGGTACAAGCAGCACAGGAATAATAATCTCACCTGAAAGGAGGGGATTTTGAATTTAGTTTTCCTCTTATTGGGGATTAAAAATTAGGTTAGATAAGCTTACCGAAGATGCAATGTATCATTTGGAGTTTTTTTTCCCCCTCCCCACTGAAAATCCTATGCTTCTGTATTTTGGCAATGTGGTTTTAGGTAGAGATAGGTTCAATCAATCAATCAATCAATCAATATCTTAAAGCTTCCCGTAAAATAATTCCTACAGACGTCATGATTCTATAATCAAGAATAGTTTTAACAAATGATTCGGGTTTTTTAAAATAAATCTTTGCTTACTTTACATTTCTTTCTTTCTAAACTTGAGTCTCCTAGCTGTGTTGAATGACTTACAGATTTTCTCCTCTCTCTCTTTCTCCCTCTCTCTCTCTCTCTCTCCCTCTCTCTCTATATTCTCCCTCCCTCTCTCTCTCTTCTCTCTCCCTCCCTCTCTCCTCTCGCTCTCCCTCCCTCTCTATATTCTCNGTGCTTTTTTCTCCGCGCTGTTGTCGCGCTGTGATGACGTCAGCTACGCGGTTTCGTCGAGCGCCCTTTAGTCGAATGCGGTTTTGTGGTGGAACCTTCGTCGGCACGCTTTTGTCGAGCGCGCATTTGTCGGTGAACCCTTGTTACTTTCTTAGCAAACCCTGAGGTGATGGTGATAGTTTATGGAGGAAAGTGGGAACAGCTAGCAGATCTCAGACATGCTATCCTTGTCCTGGGAAAGGAGAGACTTTTGAATAGTTGTACCATCACTCATTTGGAAGAAACAAAATCCCTTGGTTTTAATCCCATTCAAGGATGACAGTATTTCCTTTTCTTCCTCCAGCCACGTTTCTGAAACTGTGTCTCGCAAGTCTGGCTGGGAGGATCCTCCAGGTGAAAAGATAATGAATCAAGGCTGGGGACAATCACCTGGGAACACTGGCAACTCAGAAAGGACCTTGAGTGGACCCGAATCCCACATCCCTTCATTGCTCTCTATGGCAACCCGCAACCACATGGACATAACCACCCCGCCGTTGCCTCCTATTGCTCCAGAAGTACTTCGAGTGGCTGAACATAGGCATCGACGGGGGCTTATGTACCCTTTTATCTACCACGTCCTTACCAAGGTGAGATGGGCAAGTCAGCCTTTGTGATTGTATTAATTGGTTTGCTTGCATGAGGCCTAGGGGGTTTTGAGAACAGTGGGGGCGGTTAAGAATCAGTGATCCAGGATTCTCCTTTCATTCCAGGGTGAGATCAAAATCCCTGTGTGCATCGAGGATGAATGTAACACTGAACTGCCGCCAGCAGTTGTCCTTTTTCGGGCCTCACGGCAGTATGTATACGGTGTCCTCTTCAGTGTGGCTGAGACACAACGGCGGATGGAACGCCTGGCTGTGCGCAAGCGCATTCCCGTGGAAAGTAGGTAACTTCTCCAGACTTTTGTACATGTGTGTACTTTCCAAGTTCTCGTTTAGGGCGAAATTATAGCGATTTCACTTAGCCACAGTTTGTTAATTGAGATATAGGGGCTGCATTCTTGTTTACCGCTTACGAAGCCAAATGAAGTAAACCTCACGTGCTTTAGTATGATTGCTAAATCAGATCACTGTTTCTAGAGCAGTGTTTCTCTGGCTGGGGAATTCTGGGACTTGAAGTCCAGACATCTTCAAGTTGCCAAGGTTGAGAAACACTGTTCTAGAGCTTGGTGTTAAAATATAGCAGACAAGATTCCCAGAACCTACATTAGCTAGTTCAGAAGGATGTCATGGTGGGATTTGCTTGGTTAATAAGACTACAGGTACAGATCCTGTTCCTACAGTGGTGGGTTTCAAAACTTGTTCGAACCTACTCTGTGGGTGTGGCCTCTTTTGTGGGAGTGGCTTGCCACCCATGTGACCGGATATGAAGATG